TCAAAAACTGTATAGTGCTATCTTTACATTCTTTCAAAGCAACGGATGTTATTAGCAAAAGCATTTTCTTAGAAATAAAAACTCTACAACTACAAGTCTTTAAATTAATAATTGTCTGTTTAATTTAAAAACGAAAATAGGAAAAATTAAATACTGTTTAAAGCTATTTTTAAATTATTTTAAAGTAACGGATGTTATTAGTAAAAACATTTCCTTAGAAATAAAACTTTCCAGCAAACCAACATTTTGGTTTCTTTTTTACCTTATGTTCAGGAAACACGATATGAGAAATATAAATTTAAATAAATTATCTCAGATATACGGAAAAAAGTTACGGATACTAAGTTTTATAATAAGCAGGGTAAGCACTTAAACTGTAAAATAATCGATGTTTAGTTTTATTGCACGCATAAAGATAATTAGAAGCGTTCTCGTGCCATTTCCTTGTTTGAATTACTTGTTTATTTTTATACACAAAATGTGTATTAATTGTTTCGAAAATATTTTGATATCTTTCAAAGTTATAAATATGAAGTGTAAATAGAACATAAATTTTTTAGACACTTATATAAATTTAAAGAAAATTTAAAATAAATGTTTTTACAAAAAAATGTTTTTATTTATAACCGTAATTGAACGGCCTACCCAATTTAGGGTTTACGACTACCAATGTTCAACTCCGTAGCCTTGTAATTGTTAACCCAATACAGAAGACAAGGGAACTCCAGTGTCAAGTATTGGAAGAAATTTGTCTTCGTGGAGGATTTTTTTGATGCAACCAACCTACATTTGCATTACATGACAAGGAAAACCACGGAAATCTTCCACGAATTGGCTGATGGCAAGGGGACTCTAGCCCATGATCGGTCTACCACTGACGATATTTTACGCCAGCACTCTGGTTTCTGCGGAATTCGAATCAACCAGTCAGCGCTAGGATTCGAAATCGGTTCAACTCGTTGGAAAGCGAGTGCTCTAACCTCTAAGTCAACACGGCTCAAAAACAAGTATAAATAATTTGAAAAAACAAAAAACAAATATAAATAGTTTAACTGCATACAGTTAATGAATTTTTTTTCTACAAAACTAATTATTTATAGTTTTTCTTAAGCGATAATTAAATAAGTAAATTATAGAATAAAATATTTTATAAGATATACAAACCTGCTACCCGCAATTTCAGAATTTAAATTAGATTTAAATTAATACTTTAATATTTTTCAATCTCCTGCCTTAATTAACTAATTTTGAATGAGCTGAAAAAATTATTAAACTTATCTTTCATTAGATAAATATTTTATTTTTAGAATAAAATCTTAGCTCCCTAGTTTCATAATTGGAAAATCTTTGATGATTAAGATTATGTTTCTTCATGCATAATTAATTATAATGAATTTTTTCATCAAACGTTGAAGGTATGCAGCTTTTTTATATTCTTTAAAAAAAAAAAAAAAAGAACTTGGTGTTAATTCCACTTCTAAAAATTGCTGAAAATTATGCAAAAATGCCTTTATTGTCTTCATAAGAGAATTGATTCGTTAGAAGTAATTTATTCTTGTTAAAGAGTTTATAAATGGTGTTTCAGAATAACATTATTTCGTTTTTAATTCATGGCAGACAGAGGTCAAGGAAATTATTTTAGTTTTTTATTAGAAAAGTTTCCTAAATTTGAGGTATGGCGACTTCTGACTTTTTAAATATTAATATAAATCGCTCTGCACATGCATTTTTCTTACATTTTCTAACCCCTCCTTATTTTATTCCTCTTTTACGAAAGCCATCTCCGAAATGACATTATTTTCCGGTCCCCATAATATTTTGTGAATGTCACTCAGAAAATTTAAAATACCACTAGCGTGTCAAAGAATTAAAAGTAACATGAAGAAAATAAGGAAGCGAAGACTTTGAATGGCGACCCTGTATTTTCACGTGTTACACTGAAAAAAAATGTATAGTCAAAACTATCAGAATATGCTAAAACTTAGAGCGTTCTGGTCTCAATGAGAGCACCAAAGAGCTCGGTAATTTTTAAATGATTTTGAAAAAAATTAACCATGAAATATTGTTTATAATTTGGCATAAAATTTGTTAAATATCATAAAATTTGGAAAAATTATAATGATACCTAAAAGATGGCATGAAAACCACTTACAGTTAAATTTACTTTTCAGTTTTGTACATTTTACTAAATGAGTGGTAATAACATTGAAAAAAATACAGGGAATAAACAAATATGGCCCCGATTGCTTGTTCCAGGGTGGGGTCGAAAGTTTTTACCTTAACTGGAACAATTCGAATATTATTATTATTATTTGCGAGTTTCTCTATATCTTGAGAATTTACTAAGAGAAACGCAAAATTTTTGCTCACAATTATAAAATTCGTTTATCCAAAGGAAATGCCACAGAAAAAATAACTCTAATAAATATTTATTATTTTATTATTATTTTATTCATTAATAGTATAAAACATTTTAAATTGCAAAGTGCACAAATTTTTAGATCATTTTTAAGGAATGCAATTTTAAGTGGTAATAAAATAAAACATTTGAATGACATCAGTGGAACAGTTCTTGAGAAATTCAATTTTAAAAATAAGAATTTTTCAAAATTTGATAATTCTACCAATATCGTTCAAATTTTGTATTTTATCATTTATTACAATATTGTAAAACTTGCTTGACTTGAAAATGTCTCGACAAATAATAAATTAAATTAATAAAGAATACTTTTTAATAAAGAATTATTTAAAAATATTATTTGAATGAAATTCAATAATTGTTTGCAAAAAGTTTTCATATTGTATTAAGATTTTTCTAGAAAAGTCAAAAGTGAAGGCAACTTTAAGGGACTAAAACCTTTGATCATCTTACTGTCTAAACTATTAGAACTATATTTTCCACGCTGCGGTCCCGCTCCATATTTTAAAAATCAGATTTAAATCCGTTGAAAAAAAGTGTGCTTATTCAGAGAAATACTTTTTTGTTTGTGCTTTTCTAACTTAAAATATCTTGAAATATTTTTTACATTATATATAAGTATATTTAAGATTGGGCCCTCAAGCATTTCCAAGTTCTCTAAAATCCGATTATTATTTTTTTTTTATTATTTGACACTCTGAAATAACAGTGAAAAGTATACATTTTTTTTCTCTCAAATATTGTTCCCTTTTGCTTCATATTAAAATATAGTGAATAAGAGATAGGATAGAATAAGATAGATAAGATAAAGTTGAATAAATAAAGTATTGAAGAAAATATAGTACCGAAAATTAGATTACTTCAGGTCAGATTAAATGTTTTTAAATAAAGATATTTTGTTGAAAGTATACTGTAGAGGTCTGAATATCTAGCAAGCTATAGCTCATTTTAATATAATAAGTAACATTTTATCCTAAATTGTTTGAAAATTTTAATTCAAAATTGTCTCTGTATCACAAAGTCAGCTCCTTGGGTGGGATAGCTTAACGTAGTTTATCACGTTAAGAGGGATTTAAAAATTATTCCAGTGCGCTGTAAACATTCGTCATATCGCACAACGAACACGTTTTTTAAAATATTTTTAAAACGTTTCAGTATCAAAATTTTTTAATTTCCTTTATGTAAAATAAAAAATAAAAGCATTAAATTTTAAATTATTTATGCGTAATTATATTATTTTCATTAATTCTATAATTATTTTTAATTTCATTGTTATTCTTAAATAATATTAAGTATTATATTATAATTAATAATTACTTTGCTATTTTTTGAGAAAGTAAAAATTATTATAAATTTTGTTCGGAAGCAGGAATATTATTTTTTCTTTCTTTTGTACCAAGTAAAATCTGAAGGTTCAATATTACAAAAATTTTTTAGGCTTTAAAGAAAATGATGCTTTGTACATTTAATATTTTTGAACTCTTCCTTGGAAAATTTATGTTTTAAAACTATTGCAATATAGTTGGATTTTATACATTGTAATGTAACTTAAGTAGATTTTTAGAAACAAGAACCACTTTTAAGTTTATTTAGATTTGTAAACAAGTTTGTAAATCAAATTTAACATTTTCACATTTTCAAAGGTTTCATATGATTAATACTACTACTACTACTAATAATATATATATACATAAAAGAGAAAATAGACTATGTATAAATTTAATTAGAAAATATATAATACAAAATGTTACTAATAAAGAGATCGGTTATTTTAAGATATCTCGATAAATTTTGATAAAATAATTTTATGAACCCCTATTCGTTTGTTCACCATCTTTACTTGCTTAAAAACAAATAATATTTTTGCAGAAATTAAGAAATATTTTTTTGGAAGGAGCTAAACTGAACTTCTTTCCTTATAAATACAAAATTGCAAACGAATGAATGACATTCAACATATTTAGCTTATTTTGAATGGAATTGTTATATTTTACTTCAGTACAACATTAAATACATTAGCATTATAATTATTTCTCTGCAAAAACTTTACATAACTTTATAAAAAATTATTTAAAATTACTAAAATAATATATAGATATTTATCAATTTGATGGTTCATATAATTCCAGGAAATTTCTTCACGATTAATAATAATAAAAAATTTTCAAAATTTAAACTTTATTTATAAAATTTCTTTGACATCTTTTTAATTTCATTTCATCTTTCAATGGCATTTCAAAACTGCTGTATTTATAAGTTACTGTAATTTTGAATTATTACTTTGTGTATCCGAGTTTTTATATATGGCAGAGTATATTAAGAAAATCCATTATATAAGTTATATTAACTAATAATTATTTTATCTAATAACTAGTTTGATTAATCAGCAATTATAATAATTAATTTATAAGAAATTCATTTTTATTCCAATTTTTTTAATTTCCTTTTAATAATAGAACTATTATAGACTAGTATTAAAATTTTTCTTTTTCTTAGTTACTTGTAACTAGGAAAGAAGAGGTAAATTTTTGATACGCATCTTATTTTTCGTAACTGTTACTTTCTTTAAGATATACGTTACCTTAATGAATGCTCCTTCTTTGCTCTTTTTCCAACTTTGGTTTTTTGTGAAATGTCTGAGGTTTAAGAAACCGAAAGTCTTTTTATACTTAGCAGTTTTAGAAAAAATGTTGACTCCTCCCCTTTTTCTTAGCCAGATCAAGATTTTCCAAGTTATTATCTGTTTACGATTTATAAATACATCATTCCGGCTTTTCTCAAGCAAAAGGAAAACCTCATCAAAACGGAAAAAGTAAAACTAACTTTTAATCGCGTTTGTGCGATTTCGAAAAAGGAAGCACAACGCTTTCACTGATAATGGTCCCCTAATAATTTCCTGAACCCTAGGCACGAGAAGATTTAATCGACACGCGCGTTTTGAACATTATCCAAGAGCTATTGACATTTCAAAAATGATTTAGTATATCTAACAGAAGATTAACGTAATGTATCCCAGATAATATCTTTTTTTTTACATCACTGGAAGTGAAGGGGGTGGCACTTGGGTATGCATGAGTTGAGCGAATGTGATAAAATTAAGATATGAATTCTATTTTCCAACATTAATTTATTGTTTGCTAATTTGATTTAAATTGTTGGGAAGTGTAGAGTTGTTTTGATGTTTTGAGTTGTTAATAAAATGACTTCCGTTTTTAGAAATTATTATTTATTTAATCAAACATCTCAATTAATTTAGATTTATGACTGCTATAAGGAAATAAGGGTTTCCGGAACATTTTTTTTCATTATTAAATTTTTGTTGCGCAATATAGTACAGCATAGCAAAGACGGAAATTATTTGCAAGCAATATTACAAATTAAGTTAAACTTATTAAACACAAGAAATTAAATAAAATATGAGTAAAATATGACATTATCTCCTTAAGATATGAGATAGGTATCTTAATAATTAAGATATGAGATGGGTTTCTTAAAAATTAAGATAAAAATAAAAAACAATTTGATATTAAGAAAAGTACTATTTTCGAGCATCAATTTATTTTTGTTAAGTTAAATAAAATTGTTTGCAAATTCTGTGTTGTTTTGATCATTTGAATTGTTAATTTAATGCTTACTTTGTTTTTTAAAATTTATTGTTTATTTAAGTAAACTTCTCTACTGATTTATTTTTATAAGGAGTTTCCGGAAAGTTTTTTTGTTTATCATTAAATTTTTGGTGCATAATAATACAACATAGCAAAGACGGAAATTATTTTAGCAATATTTTGCTATAAGGAATATTACAAATTAAAATAAACACATCAAACATAAGAAAATATGAGTTAAATATGGCATTAATATCTCACTATGATATGAAATAGATATCTTAACAATTAGGATATGAGAATGGTATCTTAAAAAGGAAGATAAAAGTAAAAAGCAATTTAAAATTAAGAAAAGTACTATTTTCGAGCATTAATTTATTGTTGGGTAAATTAAATTAAATTGTTTGAAAATTTTGTGTTGCTTTGATAATTTGAATTGTTATTTTAATGGTTATTTTGCTTTTAAAATTTATTGATTATTTAAATAAACTTCTCAATTAATTTATTTGTATGAGGAGTTTCCGGAAAGTTTTTTTGTTTATCATTAAATTTTTTTTGCATAATATACAACATAGCATAGAAGGAAATTATTTTAACAATATTTTGATCTAAAAAAGTTGCAAATTAAATTAAACAAATTAAAAATTACAAATTAAATTAAGATATGAGTATAATGTGATGTTAATATCTCAGGAAGATATGATTTAGATATCTTAAAAATTAAAATATGAAATACGTAACTTAAAAAGTACGATAAAAATAAAAAGCAAATTAAAACTAAGATGAGTACATATTTTCGAGCATTAATTTTTTGTTGGCTAATTTAAAATAAATTGTGGAGAAATTTTGTGTTGTTTGATGTTCTGAATTGTTAATCAAATACTTACTTCTGCTTTAAGAAATTATTGTTTATCTTAGTAAAACATCACAATTTATTTTATTTTATGGATAAATTAAATAAATTGTGATGTTTTGTGATGTTTAAATTGTGATGTAATACCCTTTTCCTTTATAAAGATAAAGGGTAGTTTCTGCTGAGCTAGTTTTCATCTATAAATTTTTGTTGCAAAATAAGCTCGAACACCGCTTAGACGGGTATTTTACAATATATTAATATAAACGATTTAACAATTAAATTTAAAAAAATTAAATTCAACAAACTAAATTTAGATATGAGTTAAATATGATCTCAGAAAGATAAGTAAAATTTATATCTCACAAAGATATGAGATAGATATCTTAAAATTAAGAAATAATAATTACGTATTAAAAATTAAGACAAAGTTATAAACAAAATAAAATTAAAATGAGTACTATTCTTGAACATTATTATATTGTTGGCAAATTTAAATTAAATAGTGTGGAAATTCTGTGTTGTTTTCAATTGTTGCTTACTTCCGTCTTAGAAAATTATTACTTAAATAAAGATGTCAATTAATTGATTTTTTATGGTTATTATAAGGAAAGGAAAAAATCAATTAATTTCAAAATTTCAATTAAAATAACAGCTACCGTGTGAGATAATTTTGAAAATTTGAATTTTTTTTTTGAAATTCATGTACACTGTAAAAAGTTTTGGATCGAATTACGGTAAGTAATACCGGCACTCATGGTGCGGGTACTTTTTACCGGAACTTGTTACGAAACAAAAAAATCTGATTTACCGTAATTCTTACAGTAATAATTACCCTAAAATCACTGAATTACTCAAATGAAATAAATATTATTGTAAAAATTATGCTGTAATATTTTATGGTAAAAATGGATTTTACGGATGATGCACCCAAAGTGCTGGAACTTTATACAGTAATTTGTTCTGAAATTTTTTAACAGTGTAATTTTGTGTCAAGAAGCATTTTTTTCAGTTAAAAAACATTAAATGTATAAACTGATTAAAAGTAGTATTAAAATTTATTATAATAATGCAATGTATTAACAGATAATTTTTGGGCTTTTTTTTTTTTCTAGAATAGAAATAGAATTTTTTTTCATTTTTCGTGAGATTTCCTAACGAAATAGTACGAAAAAACATTTGTTATTCGTGCAACTGAAGATAGTTGAAGTAGAAATATTATTTACTGACACCAAAATATAATTTTATAGCAAAATATTTCTTATTAAATATTTATCTCGAACTAATTGCAAAGAATTTTTGATAAAGTCTTGTACCTTGAAACACTTGGGACTAATGATATTTACAAATTCTGAGAACATAACAGCAGCATCAGATTTGTTTCCGATTCCTAAAATGACTTTAACCAACAAGATCGCATTCTAGGAAAAGCAAGCAAATGAAACAGTGAATGAAGGCTTTGTGAAAAAATGAAAATTTTATCACTTAAAAGTAATTTTTTTTTTTTTGTATTAGAATATCGTTTTCCTACATTCAGTTTGAGAAATTCCAATCTTTTTTCAAATTATCGATGGTTGAAAATGGTGGAGATAATTTTATTTAAAACTAAACTTAAAATCTTAATATTAAGGCATACAAATTTTAAATACATAACAAATTAGAAAGTCCACGCTATTCAGGCAACGAGACCTAACATCCACTGAAAAAGCAAGAAAGCTATGTCCAATTCCTTTGGGCACGCCTCACGGCCTACCCCCAGCTACGACCCAAGCACTTACAGGGGTTGCTCGCAGCAGAGCGACCATCTACAACGATTCACGAAGTCGATTTTGCAAAGTAGCATTTAAACGCGTCTAGCAATGCAACAGTAAAAGAAATTTGAAACGGTGAATCAAAAAAAGTTCCGGAAATGTGTTCCTGAGTTCTTTAATATTTGCTGACATTATTCCTTTTTAAATTTAATATAATTATCAGGATTATGGACTTCTTGTGTTTTCGGTTTTATCAACGAATTCATGATAATTTCTCTCAACTTAACAAAATTATTTTATCTATGTTGAATAAAATCTTTAATAATAAGCATTTGTTTTATATAAATAAAAAAATAATCTTTCTGCTTCATATTTGTGAATAAGTATTTATAAGCCTGGGTAATCCTATTAATATTGTGATCTTAATCTCTTTGTACATTGACTCATCTTCAGATCGCAATGCGTGTGAAACTCGTGTGTTCATCGTTCCTGTTTTGATTTAAGTAGGAAAGTAAGCTATCATTCAAGCGAGGCTTTATGAGAGCCATTTTTTTTATTAGTTTAGAGATTACATTTATTAAAGCAAAAATTTGTATTGATAAGTCCTGAATTTTCTATATGAATTAAAATAAAGTATCATAAAAGGGGATTAATAATTATTAATATTCATACTTCTATTGAAAAAAGGTACATTAAATTGATCAAAGATTTTATTGATTTACATAAAATATAAATTGAAGAAAAATATATTTGATGACAAGATTAATGCGATAATAAATTTTTGTAATTAAATAGAAAGATGCTGCCCAAAAAATATCTGATACTTTATGCATAAAAATAGCACTTTTGATAAATAGCACAAATTGTAGAGATTGTTAATCAAAGTATTTAAAGTCTAGAGCCAATACAGCAGAAAATATAATCATTTTTTAAAAATAAACAAATTAAATATTTTAATATTTTAGAAGTTATTATATTTTATGAAACATAGTTTTCTTTTAGCTGAAATTTAGTACAGCACTAAATTACCTATTTTAATTTTCTTACACTGTACCAAAAAAAAAAATTTAAAAAGTCATGACTAATGCTTTAATAATACATTTTTTAATTACGATACTCAGTAATAATATACAATTATCCAAACTTATAGTGTATTGAACTGTACCTAAACATTAATAATTTTCCATCACATGAATATAGGTATTTTATTTCATCCATGATAGAGAAATGGAAGGGGTGGGCAAGGTGGTAATCACCCAGAGTGCCAAGTTACGGGGGTGCTGAACGAGATCCAGATTTAATGGTAATACTATTGATTATAATAATAATAATAGTTCACTAAACTATTGATTTCCTCTTTTCTTCAAATATTTTTTGTTTGGAAAATATATTTATAGGTTTTATTTCAGATATTCCAAGATAAACTTTTTTATGGTTAAAAGTTCTCCATGTAAAAGATTTAATGCAAGACAGAGGGAGGAGTGATCTTAGAGAGTGAAAATGTGGACTTGCGTCTCTTTTTATTTAACCCTGGAATTTATTCTTTTCAATTTAGTGAGTTATGTCATATTAGTTTTATGAAGTTAGTTTTAAAAAAAAGAAATAGAAATTCTTTTTAATTGAAACATCATTTTGTAATATGGGTAAGCAATCAGAAAATTTTGCTTTTCAATCAAAGAATGAAAGAAAAATTGCAAATGGATGATTTTTTTGAC